CTATTTAGCTCAAACCAGGACAAGTATTAAGGAATTTGAAATAAAATATATCTCATTGTCTCTTGGAAAAAAAACAGCAGCTACTTTTACATTGTGGTTAATGTGATGCAGTCTGAAAATTCTGTTTTTTTCTCCATTTTCAGAAATCTTTTCTGGTAACTTGTTTCTTGTAGGTTAAGCTGTGGTACGACAAAGTGGGCCATCAGTTAATAGTGAATGTTCTACAAGCAACAGATTTGCCACCAAGAGTAGATGGACGCCCCAGGAATCCCTATGTAAAAATGTATTTTCTTCCAGACAGAAGGTAGTAGTCTTTCAGTTTAGAAAATAGTGTTATAGTTTACTATGTACTGAATCAACTTTTAAATGGGTGCTTATGAAGTGAAGAATACCTTTTTCTAATTTGTTTTAGTTAGGTTAATTATATCAAAAATTTACACTTGAATCATGCAAGTCAGTATCAAATTAACTCTGTGGACTTTTGGGTGAATGTGATCCACTGTACAGCAAATACTTTTTTAGGCATTATCAGATCAGAAAGAATGAAAGCAGTTAGTGCTGGTGCGCAGATGGCATTTTGTGATTTATGTCTACAAACAATTTACAACAAATATTTGTGTTTCAGTGATAAGAGTAAAAGGAGGACCAAAACAGTAAAGAAAAGTCTAGAGCCAAAATGGAACCAAACTTTTCTCTACTCACATGTACATCGTAGAGATTTTAGAGAGCGAATGCTTGAAATAACTGTATGGGATCAGCCAAGAGTGCAAGAAGAAGAGAGTGAATTTCTTGGAGAGGTGATACATACAATCGCATTTCTTCTGAGTTCATTGCTTGGTTTTGAATACACATATATGTTATCTGTGTGTGCCTTGAAATTAAAACTTACACCTGGTAATTTTTCTACTAGATTCTTATAGAGCTGGAGACAGCACTTTTAGATGATGAACCACATTGGTATAAGCTACAGACACATGATGAATCTTCACTACCTCTGCCTCAGCCATCACCTTTCATGCCAAGAAGACATGTTCATGGTGGAGAAAGCACTAGCAAAAAATTACAAAGTAGGTCCTAATTCCATTATTCTCTTTTAAATTTTAAATTAGAAATGCTGGATGTGGTGCAATGGTATTTCATATGCAAGATAAAAATACTATTTCATAGTCTTTAAGCGTAATGAAAATGTGTGGCAGAAGAGAGATGCAAATTACAACGTTATGATGTCACAGCCTGTCGTCTGTGACGAGTAACTTTCAAGTATGAGAAACCTGTTGGAATTGGTTTGGTTTTCACTAGCAAAAGAAAATTGTTCAAAAATTTGTTTGCATAAATGTCCTTTTAAGTAGAAAGATGAAGTTCATCATAATTGGCTACTTTTTTAATAATTAAAAGCCTTTTTATTTAAAAAAGAAAGTCCTTCAAGACTTACAAGCCTTAAAAACACTTTTCATCATAAAGTTAGTCTCAACCTCCAGTACACCTATTTTACAATCAGATCAGAAGTGTACTTTTGCAGCAAAGAGAAATTGTATGCTTGTATTTGGGTGCTGCAATTGTTTTGATGAGTTTGATTTCGGGTTTGTATGAGGCTTATTAAAATAACGAATGTATTGAATTATTTGAACATTGTAGCTTCTCTGTTCATTTAAATTAATGTAAGGTTTATTTAGAAATAAGGAAGATGTATGGGATTATTTTCTAATACACTTCCAAGCTATTTTTTCTGAATTTTCTTAAACCTGGAAGTCATTCATTCCACCCAATGCATAGGAAATCAGTGCACGTTCAGGAATGAATTGTAAAAATGTGGTACTGCTGTAATTGCTGCAGGAGGAGAAGTATAGAGAGACCAAATTAAAGGTTAGTTTTCATGGGAGATTCGAACTTTTCTAAAAGCTGGCAGTGCTGTTTCCTCTTTCTCTCTTCCACCATATGCTGCCACCTCTCCTTTCCTGTTCAGCAAGCTGATTCAGCTTACTCACTGAAATAGCACAAAAGTGGGTTTTTTCTTTATTTGAGTTAACTTTTTGCTGATTTAGTGAGATAAGCAGTCCTAGTAAAGGATTACTGAGGACTTGAGGAAAGGAGAAGGGGAAAGGAGGCTGCAGCAGCTGTAAGAAGTTAAATTGGTTCAGCTGTCCTGTGAAAAGTCACTGCAGTTCAGTTCTCCTCTGTTGTTTAGACTGAAAATCATCTTTTTGACTTCAGTAGTACATTAAATGAAGCTATTTTTACATTTTATAACACGAGCAGATGTTCAGGTATTTTGTTTACCTTACTGTTGTGCAGGATCTCGGCCAATCAGTGATAGTGACATCTCAGATTATGATGTTGATGATGGTATTGGAGTTGTTCCTCCAGGTGCGTGGGTGAACAGCATGGTCCTGCTATCTTCTTCTTCCTCTTCTTCTTCTTCTTTGCTTGTCTGTTTTTTTGTTTTTAATTTATAACATTTTGGAATATTGAGGATACTGGTTTCGGAGAGTGCATTGTGAAAAAAAAAACCCAAACAGTTTTCCTGATTATTCCATGGTACCTGTCCTAAATCATGGTGAATTAAAAGATCCTACTATTCATTCATTTATATTTCTTTTGCATATCATTCTTTGTATGTGAACCACTAGGTGGTTCAGATTGTTTAATTGTTTACTGTGCAATGTTCCAAGCATTATTTGAAATATAAATTAAATTCAAAAACGTCATTTGAAAATAATAATTGAGATTTCAGTCTTTATTGCAAGCATTTTTTTTTTAATTTTGCTTTTTGCTTGAAACTTAGATATAATGCAGTCTCCCATGGAATTTATTGGGCACGCATGGCTGTAGATTAAGATGCATGTAGCATGGCTGTATCTTTTATAGTTTGCATAAGCCTTCATGAACTATCATTACCCTAAATGTTCATAAATATATACTTGTAGAGAGTATCATGGTTTGACTTTTAGTTCAGCATTCCTTACATACTGAAAATCTTGAGGATTATTTTGGTTACCACATTTCACTACTTCTATTTGACTGTTGCTACAAGTCAGATGAATATATTTCCCAATTGTCCCAAACTAACTGAGAAGTCACTGTGTCATTGCCAGCACTGTCAGGTTTTCTGTGGATCTTCCTGATGTAAATCACTGAATTAAATCATGGGGGGATTTGCAAAGCTGTCTTCCTGATCTGCGTTTAAAATAACCTGACAATTTATTTATTCATTATAACCTTATCAATCACTTATTTTATTAATGCAATCTCATTTTGATGTTTACTGAGCCAAATTCTCCTCCCTTTGATGCTGATTGGGTTCTTTCCTTACTTTAATCCACTTTCCACCTGAGTTACTAAGAGGGAAATTCATTCAGGTATGTTTAGTAACTCTATTTGCTGTAATGAAGTGAATCATATTGATATTTTTATATCAGGTGAGAGAGAGAATGTTTAAAATTTAAATAAGTAATAGGTTCTAAGTGTTTTTTCCTGTTTATTATTTCATTTATTTTTTTTAGTTGGCAATGCCAATACTGGCATATCTGTGTACATTTACTTACATTTAAGGTTTTAGTGTACCATATTAAGAACTGGAGCTTTTTTTCAGCTGCCAGTTCTTCAAGGCATGCATTTGCCATTTGAAACAAGCCACTTTCCATCTGACAGGAAACATTCAAAACCTGTTCAGCTGAACGCATTGGATTCTATTCACTGGGTCAGAACTTGAGTCATTGATTTGTATGGAAATTTCTGGGAACCATGAATGCTCAGATGTGCCTTTGAAGAACGCATGGGTCCAGACTTTCTCAAAGACTGCTGTAGAAAGTTGCAAGTATTAATCCATAGCAGTAGGATTTACAATGAACAGCAGCCCTTGTCTGGTCCTGATTTCCCACACGTTCTCTTGCAAGGTATGCAAGTGTCGTGGTTTAGGGCTGGGCTAAATCCTGGACAGACACTCTCTGTTAACCCCTCTCCCCTCCCCAGAAGAGAAAGGAAAAGAGAATAAGGGAGAGAGACTTTAAGAATTGGAAAATAAAAATAACAGGTTTAATTAGACAATAATACTAATAATACAGGATAATGTAAATAGGAAAATAATGAAATATATACAGATATGTAAAAATATATACAAAACCAATATAAAATCCTACCCCCATGCCCCCCAGTGATGATTATGCCACCAGAGGCTTTGCAGAGCAGGGCACTGGAAAAGTCCCTGTGCAGACCCAGCAGCAGTGGGAGCTGATGCAGGAACACAGGGATCAGGATCAGAGGCAGACGAACCAGCAGGGTCTGCTCAGACCTCCGCCACTGCAGGATTCAGACAGAAGGAAGGGTCTGAGATGGAAGAAGGGTCAAGACTCTCCTGATCCCTTGGCTTTATACCGAGTATGATGTGTGTGGGAAGGAATACCTCGTTGGTCAGGTTTGGGTCCACTTCCCCTCCTTGTAGGCACAGACACAGCACCCGTGGAGAGACAATGACCTTGAGATTATCAGTTTATAGCAACACATACTGAAAAACCATGCTGCTAGTTTTCAGCAAGTTCAGCCACTTAAAAGAGACTGATCTGAAAATTAAAATCATTAAATAGAAAATTAGTTCTATTTAGCTCAAACCAGGACAGCGTGTGGGAGGGAACGACGAATATCCATATATGATGCAGCTCACCTGCACTCTTAGATCATTTTGGCATAGCCTCTATTGGTTTCAACTTAGATTAGTCTAGGATTAAGATATTTCTTCTCAACAGAAGTAAGAATATAAAGATTGAGTTTACGACGTGTGATGCAAAAGAAAATGTTTCCCTTTAAAGCCCCTTTTCCTTCATTTACCACTTACTTGCACTGTGGTGCTCATATATGATAAATAAGCTCTGCCTTCATTAAAGGTATATTCTTACACTTGTTAATTCATTCTTTTTGTTGAAATATTCAGAATAGAATGAAGGGGTTTTGCTTTCTTAATATCTCAAGATTTTCACAAAGATTATTGCTCATTTTCTAAAAATCTGCAAAATGTAGCACAGAAGTTCACTTGCTCACCACCATAAGCTAAAAAATGCATGATGAAAATATTTTGGCTAATTTAACTTACATTGGAAATGCTTAAAACAATAATTCCAGATGTTTTTCCAATTGTGAAGACGAATGCAGTATTAGCACTTAGTAATAACAGTAAAACCTATTTTCCTAGGGGTTTCAGCAGCTGCAAAGAGTCACTGCTTGTCGATGGGTTTAAAGACTGCTACATCAAAAATAACGGCACTTTGATAACTTCAAGAATATTTTAAGAAAAGTGGTTTTCCCTTGTCATGTCAGAAATGTGTCTTATCTTTCATATAATTGTACTGTCCTCACTTATAATTAGTATCTTGCAGTGATATATAATCTTAAAAAAACCAACCCATTGAACCATTCATAAAAGACGTTTATATCAACAGCTGAAATCAACATTAATTTGAAGCTCAGCTTGAACAGAATTGATTTTTGACAGGTTTTTGTGGCATGCCCACTTATATTTACATGAAGAAAATATCGTATTAAATCTCTTAGCCTCTCCTCATATGAGAAATGCTCCAGTCTCCTAATTGTCGTTGTGATCCTGAGCTGGACTCACACCAGTAACCCCATGTCTGTATTGTACTGAGGAGCCCAGTACTCCAGATGTGGCCTCACCGGTGCTATAAGTATATAAGAAGGGTCAGTAAAGGATCAGCAAAGGGTTTAATAAAACCCAAAGATATTTTGAGGCCTATTTTTTTAACCAAAACTTCAATAACATTCTTAATTGAAGAGGAAAAAAGCTGATAAATGGTAATATCCCGAAGGATATCTTTAATGAGCTATATTGCTTTAGCTGTGGGTAGTTCTTCAGAACAATTCATTTTTCTGTCATGTGTAATCTGTATAAATGGTTGTGTTCTCCTTAGCTTCCTCCTAAGGTGACATCAACACATCTTATCGTTGTCTGTATTGTCTTAAAAAAAAATAAATTAAGATTTGTGATATCAGACATTTGCTAGAACCATTTTCATCATCCATGCAGCTTCCCTGTCATGTCACCCCTGACAGTTTCCCATGAGCCACTGAGAAACTTCTTCTGCATAAGCTGCCATCAGCTTTATTGCTGCTGTCATGCTGGTTCATGCAAAAAATGTCTCTGGAGAGCTCAGAGGATACAAGGAAATGTTGCTGTTGGTGTCACTGTCGTGGTCACTGTGGAAGTATGGATGTCATTTGAGTGATTTCACAGTATTTGAGCTAATTTAGGATAAATGTGAATTGCTATTGCTCTGTTCTGTAAGCTTTGTGTGCACACAATGCACACGTTTCAGATGTTGTTCCTTGGATAGCTTGGCTATGAAGGATATATGGGATAAAGTCATCTTTCTATATTAGACTATTAAGTGTAAAAGATAATCCTAGCTGTATTTTTTTAGGCAGACTAGAGATAAACTACAAATATATTTTAAACTGGAATTTACATTTAATTTTTTATATTTAATAATATTAAATTAAGTGATGTGTTTTTCAGTGCAGTTGCCTAAAGCTTGTAAAGAAGTTTTGGATTTCTTTGTTCCTTGTGATAGAGATGACAGGATTTTATCTAAAACAAGCTTGTTTGGAAAATGAACTGTTTTGTTAGCATGTACAGCTTAGATTTAGTTATCCTGGGAAGGGGAACACATCCAGCTTTTGTCATGTGTAGTCTTTCTTCCTCTGACAATGAAACAGCAGCAACCTTAGTGCATGAGAGGAGGGAATCTCTACTGACATCCTGAGGGACTCCCTTTTTTGCTTCCAAATTTACACCCAGTCCTTGTCCTGAGATCAGGGAGCTCCTCATTTTTCTTTCGAATGTTATTACACAACTCTGAAATGCTTTTTCAGAAGGTAAGAAATACCATCATCACAGTACATCAAAACCTGTGAAACATTGGAGTTCAAAGGTTGAGAAACCTGATGTTTGTTTATGAGCTCTAGGATACGTTCTTCTTATAAGTGATTTTCTTTAGGCCCAGTCCTGCCCTCTAAGATTTATCAATACTCATAGTATTGTTTCTCTGATTTATTTACCTCATCACACTCCTCTGCTTCAACAAATGGAAGAAAAAAGATATTTCCCATGTTCTCACACCAACCCCTATACTACAAAGAAGACACAAAAGTTCTGCAGATGTTTTCTAGCCAACAGTAGCCAGAAAGTCTGTAGTGATGCACATTTGAGGGGAAAAAAAGCATGAATGCTTCCTTGACATTTGTGATCAAGGTTCAAACTTGCAACTAAACTTTTTATTAAGTGTCATTAAATGACATGACCAAGCCTAATACAGATTCTGTATGTGGGCTACTCTTTTAAGAAGACTATAACAGTTTGGTGGAAGATCAAAGAACTACAAGAATCATACAAATTACCCAAAACATTAAAAAAAACCCCAAACTTGAAACCCTATAGCAAGATCCTTAAAAAGTGCAAGTTATTTAATTTATCCAATTGACTATTGAGTGACTAAATAGTAGTATCTTTTTGCATGGAAAGAGGATTTCTGATACAAGCTGCTTTTTTAGCTGAACAAAATTAATACATTACAAAAATTTAATGCTAGAAAAATTCAGAGAAGCAGCAAAATTCTTCTTTCAGTGCTCTTCTCCACATCTTCTAGTACGTAATGAACATCATCTCAGTTTCTCTGTCTCTGTACATGTAGGCATTTAAAGGTAATGCTTGTAATATATCCTGGCTGCATGATCCGTTGAGGTGTACAACAGCTGAATGACAACTTGAAAGCTGTGTAAGTGTTTCGATGTGTGTTCCTGGAAGGAGTAACCACCTGAATTCTTTCTGAACCCAGACTTTTATTCTCTAACTTCCTTTTGTTGCCCTCTTACCAGTAGGTTATAGGTCTAGCGCTAGAGAAAGTAAATCTACAACGCTAACTGTGCCAGAACAGCAAAGAACAACACATCATCGGTCACGATCTGTATCTCCTCACCGTGGCGACGATCAGGGCAGGACCCGTTCACGTTTACCAAATGTGCCATTACAGAGGTAGGCATCACCAGTTTGTGAAACGCTGGGTGGTTCCACGTTTGTATAAACTGTCGTTACTAACATTTCTTCAGCAATTTTTCACAATTTTAAAACTTCTTTTGTATCTGAATTAAATAGTGTAGTATTTGAACTTGATGTATGCTTTTATTAACCATTCAAGAGCATTCATGGCAAGAATCGTATCTTTGTAAGACTTACCTCTTCTTCCTGGTATTTTCTCTGTGATTCATCATCTGTGCACCATAACCTATATACCCATGTTTGGAAATGTTTCTTTCAGTCAGTGGCTGAATCTTGTGTCAAGCCACTTAAGTATATTTCTAGAATAATAAATAGTGGCATGTACGAATTGTATCATAAATATGAATTGAACTAGTTTTGGAGTAACAAAAAGCTGAAATCAGCAGTTGTATTTATAATGTCACATTTTTAATGGAAGAAGTGAAAAATACAGAGTCAGATACTGAATTATAAACGTCTATTTTCTGCATTTATTGCCTTTAATAGACAACCTATTAATAGGAGAATCCTTTTTGAGCATTTCATTTGCATGCTTTTTGGGGGTTTTTTTTGCATAGTGCCATACAGACTGTTTAAGCACAAAACTTGACACACTTGATTTTGCTTGTTTTGTTGTCCAGGGCAATGAGCTTCTCTTGCAACCTATCATGGAACCCTAAAAATTACTGTAATGGAGGTTAGAGGCTACCTGCATTTGTATAAAATAGTACTCCTTTTGTGTAGCACTTAGTTTGAGGTTTAAAAAGTCTGCCACAAGTTCCCATATCCTATCCCAAAATTTTTTAAGGAATACTTGGAGATATCTGCAAAAAGTTGACAGTCCAAAATCAGCCCTTTAGGAATCTGGCTGAACCTACAAGGCCTAAAACTTAATTCCGTCTGAGGCATTATAGTTTCTTACGTTACCTCAGTTATTCTTTAAGTATGGGCTTTGAAAGCACTATTACTGAATCCATCAGTATATGCCAAAACGGGTAAGTACTATTATAGTACTGTGGTAGAAATGGCTGCTTTCTGTACTTAAAGTTGGATTTTTTTAATCTTAGGAGCTGATTTTTTTTATAGAAGTCAAGTATTAACGATTTAATGAATAAAGACTTCCTTCAACGAAGTTGTACTGTAATCCATCAAGCTGTAAAAACAAGAAAAACAAGATTATCATGCATGTTTCTGCCTTTCAGGAGTTTAGATGAAATTCATCAAATGAGAAGATCACGTTCTCCAACTAGACACCATGATGCCTCCAGAACTCCAGTTGATTACAGATCCAGAGACATGGATAGTCAGTATTTGTCTGATCAAGAAAGGTACATCGTCAGCCTGAACGTGGAAACAAGTTTAGAAATGTCTTTGTTGTTTTTGCAGTGTTTGGTAGAAACACGACTGATATAGTAATGGGGAAGGGAGAGAAATCAGAAATCATCCCAAGTGACAAAGCTAGTGTCATGGTTAAGTTATCTATGCCCCTTTTTTGGTGCACTGGGTTACACATACTAACAGTTCTTGGGTGTTCATACCACAGTATTCTCCTGTTTGAGTCATGAATGAAGCCCAGAGATTTTTTGCTAGAAAACCATGAATCTACATGTATGCTCTAGCTATTCCTGTAGCTCAGAGTTTATCTGTTTTGGTAGCCAGCAAAGTACCAGGCACGCCTTCCTACTAGTTGGGAGTTGCATATGCTATGATTTGCCTTCCTTGAACATCTACATATGCAATCTTGCAGCGTCTTCTGGAACATTCTAGTGAACTTGGTACAGTACCCAAGGGTACCAAGGATAGTAGTGGTGCTTGTAATTAGCCAAAATCTCCAATCTTAGGTGCGTGACACGTACACTTCTCTTCCTGGAATACATGCAGTGGTTACACTTGGTCTCTCCTAGCAGGCGTTGTTTTCAGGTACCTAGGAATATCTTCTAAAATAAACTGGAAGAAAATGAGAATTTTGATTTATTTTGTAGCTGAAAAAAGGTAGAAAAGGTATTTCAATTCAGTATTTGGGAAACATAATGATGACAGTCACATAGATTATCAATGTTTGTGGGTTGTTTACTTACAAAAAAAAATCATACAGCTGAACTATAATGGATTACTTTTACCATTCGTATACAATCAGTTGTCCTAGTGATGACTTTGGACTTTTTTTTTTTGCAATGTTACTATTTTTTATGAGTAAGGATGACAAAACCTTCCCAAATAATTGAGTAAATTCAATACGAAACATACATTTCACAGTTATAGGAAAACATGTAAGTAATAAACCCTAAATCTCTGGAAACTCTTTGTCCAATTTTGAAGCAACATAGAAATTTAATATCAGCTGGCTTTTGCAATTAAACTAGTTCAGTTTTGTATATGTTCTTGCCTGTTTTGCTTTTGTAAAGCGATAAGTTATGTATGGGAATTAATGATTTGTTTGGAACTTTTTAAAATTCTACTTTATAGGCAAGAGGTATGTACAGAATTGTCTAAGTTAGATTGTTATACTGAATTTGATTTCAGAGGTGAATTGAAAGGCTTTTTAAATGTAGTAGTCAGATTTATAGTTAAGCTAATTCAAGTAATTTCCACTTGTTGCAAATGTTTCATATCATTTGTTGAATAGATTTCTTATTCAGCAAATCTGAAGAAGAGGAGACATTAAAAAGTAGCTTTGGTCAGTAGAAATAAATATAGACAGCTAAAAATTTAGAAAAGTAAAGCCTCAAACCATTATATAAATGATGATACGTACATGAATTATGCTTGGAAGGAAGGAAGGGTTTACATAGAGGCTTCCTTGGAGATGAGCCATTAGAGCAAAGCCACAGCAGCAATGGGCTGCTGGGTTTTTTCACATTCCTCAATTCTTTTCAATGCTCAAAAAATGCTTTTCAAATGTTTAAAGATCCAGCATGAAGGATATACGTGGCTTATTTGCAGGATTTAAGGATGAGTCCGTGTACTTATTCTCTTTCAGCAATAATCTTGTCTGCAGTGCTCTCCTTTTTCCCATTTTCTTTTTCATCTTGCTCCAGATTTTTTCAAATGTGGAGACTCTTTAACTCTTGCAGGTTTCACTGTCATTCAGCACAGAAAAGCAGCATCATAGAGATGATCAAAACCAGCTTTTGTTGTTGAAAATTTTCTATCACATCCAAGGATTTTTTAAAAAAATCTTTAATTCAATATTATGCATTAGTATCAATAGTAGCATAAGTATTATGTGTTCATTTCTTGAACCCTTCATCTAAACAAGTACATTCATGTCGATACCTAACATAAATTTGGTTTGAAAAGTAATTATCCAATAGTTACATGGCAGAATTTACAGTTGCTGATTACTTTTGATCATTTTCTCATTAGTCTGCTATTGGTCCCAAATTAATATTGAATATTCTGAGTAGATCTTCGTAAAAATAATTATTATAGTCTCTTACTAAAGCATCTGGTCTGATAAATTTCCAGTGGAGCTGATTTGTCCACTTTACATTTTTTTTAATATATATTTATATACATACATACTCACACCTGTATTTTGTGTTTATATATATAAAGGAAAAGCTATTTATTAGGAAATTTAGCTAAGCGGTATACTTTGCTCAGAATTTAGGATCATCATCCAATTTTCAAAGACATGACTCTTTTCATTTTTATTAAATGTTTTTTATATTCCTAAATAAAAGCTATTAATGTGAATTAAAAAATCATTTGGTTTAGAATAATAATCTTTATTTTAAATGTCTCCAAACCAGACTTAATTTATTGTAGAACTGTGAATATCTTCCTATATTATTGGTAATCTGCTATGATGGATCCTTTTGCTTTGTTTTTTTTAACTTGAAAATTTCATGGTGTATTTGCTATTTTCTATCCCTTTTCTGCATGAATTTTATATTACTCTTTGCCATGGTTCACTATTACGATAGTTACTCTTTGGCTTAGCAAAGTAAATATTAATGAAGTACTGAAGACTTTGCATCTACTTTCCAACTCTTAAGAAAATGGTAATTTTTGCATGTTTATTTGAAAATTGGAAACCTGCATATCAATTCTCTCAGTCTTCTGAGTTTATGAATGGAAGTTTTGCTAAAAAAACAACCCCAAAACGAAGTGAAAAAACAATTCAGTTCACCTTTAGTACATTTTGTTGCATCAAAATCAGGCTAGTGGTTCCAGATGCAAACTTAAATCTCACACATAACTCACAAGCCATTATTTCGAGCTTCTCATTTTAGAATTTTAGATAAATATACTGCATCGATTTAATGGGTCATTCTCTAATGGCATAAAGCACAAAACATACTGAACAACGGCTGCTTTATCTGTTTTGTAATCTTTTCTCTCTTTGTCGCCATAGTACTTCATATGATTCCTTGCTTCTTTTAAAATAGCATGTTTCCATGAAGTTTAGCTGTAATTTCATATTTAGGATAATTAGGAGGTGTGGAACTTGGTCTTCCCGATTGTGTTGAAGTGCATAAAGCTATAAGATTAACTCAAAGGATATTTCATATCATAGTCATATTTACCATAGGCATAAATGTGCATTAATTTTGTCATCTTGCTGGCTGCAGCATGTGTTTGGTTACACTAAATGAAAAATAGAGTAGACGGCTGATTTTCTCAATTGGAAACAATAAGAAGCAAAAAGTCTGGTGGCTGATTAGAAGATTTTTTTGTTTCTTTAGGATTGCATTAGAAAATACTGTCAAGAGCTATGAGACAGAATTGATATTTGGCCAAACGTAGTATTTCCAGTGAACATATATTTTTGTTTTTCCCAGAAGGGTGACTGGTTGCTCTTCCCATAAATCAAACTGCAGTAAATCAGCAGCAAAGCCTCGCTGCTTTTTCATGTGTGCTTTTGTTGCTTAGGAAGACAGAAAAAACAAAATCAAACAAGTATCATTCCTTTTTGGTTTTTTTTTTTTCCTAAAGTGTTTCTTCATTAATTAGTCAAAAAGCAAGGAGGATATTAGAGAAATGTAGCTGTTTTATGGATTCCTTTTGCCATGAAGAGCTCTGAAACAGTACTTCTGAGTTTTAAAAGGAGAAATCCCACAGAATTAGGTGACGTGCTAAAAGGTATTCATTGAAAATGTAGTTATCACAGGCGTTTTTTGGCTCATATTCTTTGCGAAGTGCATTATCAGAGTATCTCTCTGGGTGGAAGCTTCTTGTTTCTTTTCATGTTTTCATTTGCGTATCATTGACATAACCCATGTCATCGACTGCTTCATGATGATATCTGTTTCACTCACCACCCATCCTGTCTGTGCAGTGAGCTTCTTATGCTGCCCAGAGCAAAGCGAGGAAGAAGTGCAGAGTGCCTACATACCATCAGGTAAATACAGGAATTTGGTAATCGTGATCACATCTGGTCCGTTGTCTATACTCTGTGTGCCCCGCTTTTTGCCATAGTGCTATTGAGTCCCAGTTCCCAGTACATTGTGATCCAGGTGTCAGCTGTTCTTTTTTCGTTTGTTTTAATTCAGATCGAGACGTGTAAATGTGTTTGTGAACTTCAGGAGTAAGGATTAAAGCAGTTGAAGAAATTCTGATCTTGCAGTTGTATTTCGTGGTAGATTTTCTGTCTAGTCACAGACGTCCTGATCTCACAGTGCATGACAGTGGTGTTATATTTTCAAACATCCCTTTTCAGTTGTTCTTATGTTTTCTTTTCTTTGAGTTTTTATGTTTATATTACAGTCATGCACAAGCCAACAATCTTTACTTGTTGTGACACCTAATCTCACGCTGATTTTGGTCACCTGTAAAGGAAAGAACAGTGATTAAAGGGGACTCACTGGGAATCCCAAATTAGATGGGTCTCTTATTACTTGGTTTTACTTCTACATATCATGCTATAAATTAGATCCAAGCATAAACTTTGTAGTTTGGGCTCATCTTACTAATCTCTTATTCCAAAGCTTGGAGCTCCCTGTCTCAACTCTTCCCAATGCTGTGAAACTAAATGGGACTGAAATATCTTTAACAAATCTAATTCTGCCCCTCACCCCCTTATTTCACCACGTCTGTTAATCTTGTTAAGAATAATACGTGTCAGATGGTACAGAAAATCTTCCGTTTAGGACCAGTAAAAATGTAAATGGGTGTTGTTAAGAGTTTTACATCTACGCTGTATGGTCAAAATGCTCAAACTTTAAAACCATGTTGCCTTATGTACTTATTCATTTACTTGGGGTAGAATTTTCCCTTACAGCGTAGGGATTGTGTTTTTTTTTAATATTCCTTGGATTGCTTTAATTCTCTTCATCACATTTGAAACAGCATCAAAGATGCTGTGATAGGGTTCTGTTATAAGACATAGTAGTATAAAGGTAATATAATAAATATGAAAACTTTGCAAAAAATCTGTGCATCAGTGAAGCTATTAAATTAAAATTTAGAGTTTCAGTATCAGTGGAAAGAGTTTAATTCTGAAACTTCAGCTAAAAACCCTTTTTCCACAACATTTTAGGTTTTAAAGATTAATAAGTTATTTCACTCCCTGCTATTTTATGGACATTTATTGTCATATAATAGCAATTTTTCCTGCATCCTTCCTATGGCCTTTATTTTTCTGCTCCATCCTCTATAGCTTCACCCCACTCCTTGCCCTTAATTGTGCTTTTTCCTTTCACTCTTAAAGGTTACAGTTTTAATTAGGATTCATAATGACAATACTTCAATTCTAATAACAATAATTCTCACTTTATTAATAAAGCAAATATTGTATTATGAACTATTGATGCACTTTGCCCAGCCACTATAGATTTCCAATAGTTTTACAAGTCTACTAACCGGTCTGGCCAGTTAACAGGCTAAAAATTGCACCAATAGAGTTAGGCAAGAGCTATACTGAATACAGAGACTACGGCCCATTCTTGCCTTTTTCCTTATTCTAATTATTGCTGTTATTTTTTTATGATCAAGAAAAGTAACAAATTCACCCCTCTAAAGTAACAATAATGATACACAATAAACCAGAATTGTACTTTTAATAATGGTGAATGTGAATATAAAGGCAATAGAAGACAATAGACTGACTTTTACATTCAACTCTGAGACATAAACAGCCTAATCCAAGTTTGAATAATACCCAGAAAATTGCCAATATCCATCCTTGACTGAATAGTCTCAGAAACCTTTTCAACACAAATTAGGTCTGTGCATTAGTTGCCATCTTTTGTCCTTTCTCATTTGTGAGAATGACATTCATTTATTCATGTTAGAAATGTTATAAGGCTTTATCCTTGTTTTCTAGACAGCTTGGAGAATAATATTTTAATTAATTGTTGAGACAGTTTCAGCTGTTTTTCAGCTTTCTTAAATGAAAGAAATATTAATATTAGATAGTCCAAGCTACAAAGTTAAGATGTAAGCTTAGTTTAAAACACCAGTTTAGAATAAAACTCATCGTAGCTGTCCATGTTGTCCATCTGTATCCAAGTATTGACTAATAGCAGAAACAGTGAAGGACATGTGGTCCTATGCAATAGGCCATGAGTTTTCATATGCCATGTCTTAGGTCATATCATAGCATCATAAAATCACAGCATCGTTTGGGTTGGAAGGGACCTCCAAGCTCCCCCAGTCCAACCCCTGCCATGGGCAGGGACACCTCCACCAGCCCAGGCTGCTCCAAGCCCCGGCCAACCTGGCCTTGAACACTGCCAGGGAGGGGGCACCCACAGCTTCCCTGGGCAACCTGGGCCAGGGCCTCACCACCCTCACAGTCAAGAATTTCTTCCTCATATCCAGTCTAAATCTCCCCTTGCCCAGTTTAAAACCATTCCCCCTCGTTCTATCGCTACCTGCCCTTGTAAAAAGTCCCTCCCCAGCTTTCCTGTAGGACTCCTTCAGGATCTGGAAGACCACAGTAAGGTCCACCCAGAGCCTTCTCTTCTCCAGGCTGAACAGCCCCAACTTTGAATGGTAATATCTACTAGTATGCCAGAAGGTTCAAGCCGTAACAGGAATCAAAATGTCCCATTAGGACTGTTCTTGAAGTTGTAAAATCCTCAAGGGTGCTGGTCCTTCTGCTGATGGCACCATAGCTATGTCCTGGTAGGGTATGTGAAAAATGGTTAGAACTTGGTTCTAACCATTAAATGTCCATGATTCCCATTCAGCAGCCACTGTCTGCCTTGAAATTTCTCCCTCATTGGGAGAATTTGGGCTCTAACCCATTGGGTACAGCTGGACAATAAAGCAAATATTTCCTGTTCTAAATTGTCAGGTACTGTGGGTGATCGTATTAGACAGTTGTGTAACATCTGAGTGCTACTGTGCAGGCTGCTGCAGTAGATCTCCTAAGTTTTTTAATTAGCTTATTATTAATTACATTTAATTACTGTCAGATTTTGAAGCTGTCATGCCACTTCCAAAATGCTTCCACATTCAAAAATGCCAGATTTATACATCTATAAATAGGGTTGTGATACTATATATCACTGCTTTAGCAAGCTTTTCCTGCTTAGCTACTGAAGAGGTTAAAGTCTCTCTAGGTCTAAGTAAGGCATCACTAACAGAAATAAAAAACAAGTTTATATATCAGCCTAATCCTTTACAACAACTACTGTGTTCTAATTAAAAATCTCTATAAATGAAATTTAGATTACTTTCATTACCAGTAAAAAATCTGAGCTCTACTGGTATTGTCAGGGACTGTATTAACGGAAGTGCAGATACAGAAATTTGTTCCCCAGATAGCTGTCAGAGTAGCTGAGAAAAGCAAATACTGAGAAACCTACTCATACAGCTATTAAATGTAGCACAAAATTATGCATTTATTTTACGTTCTAGTCTGTCTTGGCTTACCTTTACCTGTTTTTTTATTTCTGGCATGTTTTTGTGGTGTTCTCTTTTCTTTTCTATTCCATCACATTCAAGAAGTTCGGTTAGGCGCTATAAAACATTACCACCCAAGATGCCTTTACTAGAAAATGGTACTCATTGGAACCTATACAGGTAAGAAGTGTTTAAGAGTCCCCTGTAAGTAGTTAGTTCCTTTTAAAAAAATAAATACACTTGCCTTTTAAACAATAATTTAAAAAATCATACAGTTTTTATAAATGAGAGATAAGGGATATAATCCTAAAATAACTTCATAGACCTGTTTAAATTAACCCTTACATTACAAAAAAACCCTAACCAAATGACTTTGTGTGAGGTAGACTTGTCTTCACTGTTAAAATTTTACGTTGCGTGTTTTTCTTTGTTACATTCTTTTGTTTATGTCTGAGGTTTTGGTTACATGTCAAATTTATTTTCATTTTGTTTAAATAATTTTAATTTACAAAGCTCAACTCTTCCTGCATGTGCTAAGACCAAATCAGTGATTAGACAGGATATTTCACTCCTTCGTGATTGCCTTAATTCACGAATACCGAAATTTGGAGATGATCTGCTGGTTAGGTAAGAAACTGAGGATTAATTCCCCCTCCTGTTTGGTATCTAATATTGGATTTGCAGAATAAAGGAGCTTCACCGTAAAGTGATTTCACATAATATATAGTGTATCACATCCTTTTATGTTGGCTTAAGATTTACTGCTGTTAATAAGGATTTAAACTTATTGTTTGATATTTCTCATTCCGCTTTCTTACAAGTGGATGTTGTTCTGTCTCATTCAGTTTTAAACATTTCAACAATCCTAGCAAAAAAAAATTTCTAGCAGTCTTTTGTTGGCTTTTATTTTCTATACAAATCTTGGCACTGTCATCCAGTCAGCTCTTTTACGTTTCCCTTGATTAAATCATTGTGATTCTACATTTTCTGTAAAGAGAGCATTATTTTATGAGTTAATATCTAACATTGTATTCCTTTCTTTGTTTTCTTTTTCTTTCTCTTCTACCATTGGATGCAATGCACTGGCACTAGTGAACTACAGCCCTCCCTTGACAGGGCTAGGAGTGCTAGTACCAACTGCTTGAGACCAGATACTAGTTTGCATTCACCAGAACGAGAAAGGTATCAAATAAAAACTTCTGAATTTCTTGTCATCTGTGCTGGTGATCTTTTATCACTTTTGGTTTTCTCCATACGAGTACCCCGCATTCCTGTCCATTCATGTCTGCTTTGGTATCTGTGGACATTTGGGCTCCTATATTCATGTCTGCCATGTAAATTGTGTGTTGGAGTTTATAACCGCTTCTGGCTTCTTCCCTTGTTTTAGTTCACGCTGATGTCTTTGTTTTCGAAAGTCCTCAGTATGCTGATAATAGCATTGCAGTGTTACGTATTTTGACAAAGTGCCACTTGGTTGTTGAGCTTCATCATCATTTGCTAAAAAATATTACGTCTGTTTCTTGCCTGTTCTGTGGACTGCTAATAAGGCAGTGACTTAATTTATAAATTACGACAAATCTCTCATATTTCAAACCAGAACTGTAGTCTGTGTAGTGATGTCTTTTCTACAAAACAGCCAAACTTCATTGCTTTCTCAATCTGATCTGCTGCTTCTGCTTTCACAATTACAAGGCAAATCACTGCATTGAGTTTTTTTTTTCACTCTGTGACATTATATTAAGGCTCACATAAGTCTTAAGAAGACATGTTTGCAATTTAAATGAAATACTGTTGTTTCACAGACAATGTGCAGGCATTTTATCAATGCTTTCTGAATTTTCGATATTACACTAGCCTTGTTCAAAATCTTAGGTGAATGAAATACTGCTGGTGTGTTTGACAGATGGGATTGTTCTGGAAGGGAATTTTTCATCCTCCTCTGTGTTTTTGGCTAAGAACTCTACCATTTTAAGAGTGAAATTTTAATTTCATGAAAGGCAATAATAGGCTCCTATTGAGTAGGAATATGGTAGAATTACAATTTCATCTGTGCAATACATATTTACCTAGTGTGGCACTTCATAGTGCAAAGTTGCTTTGTCATCATGTGGTGGTTATAACAGTTGCATCATTTTTATTACAGTGGGAGAGGGCCTGTGAAGAAGGGCAGTAAGAACGCACTTTTCTCTTTGAAATAACGTTCCTCCTGAGTTTTTTGTGAAATTTTCCTTTCCTTCTTCCCCACTTGATTGGAACTTTGCTCTTTTGAAGTTGTGCCCTTGTGGCAGAGGAGTGACTCATGTTCTGGTGAGATCTTTCAGATGGATCTACACCAGCTCATTCCTATTTAAGACTGGGCTCAAGATGTCATAAATAATAGATACATGGTTATTAAAAAATAAGTATGATAGAAATAAGGCCACTCAGAATGAAATGCAGGTTATTGTTCTTGATTTAAAAAAAAAATATTGTAGCATCATTTTAATAACTGTGTAGATATATACAGCTGTAGTCATCTAAAAGCAGCTATTTAATGTAATAACATATGGACGTGAGCAGTATGTGTTTTGTACTTTTATTTCAAGATTCTACCCATCGAACTGAATATTGAGTGAAAAAGTAATTGGCAATTGTAAATTATGTAGTTAAAATATTATATTTAAAACTGCACCTGTCACTGACGTTGAGTAGTTTTATTATGTCTTTATAATTCATGTCCAATAGGCACTGCACAGAACCTGCAGCATTTTTTATCAGCTCCTCATAAAAACAAGTGCTTGGTCTGTGGTAGTGGCCTCTACTGCTACTAAACACGTGGTTCTGCCAAATCACCTGTGGTCCTGATCCAGAAAAATTGTCCATCACTACAAAACTTTTACTTATTTGCTTTTGGAAATCCTAAATAGGTGTTTTTGACTTGGGATCCTTCATTGGGGTGCAGAGAAGCCTTTTAGGAAATTCATATTCAAATTTTCTATGATAGTTTTGTTGAAAATGGTGATATCTCTGTGGCTCTGACAGAGGATTTAGCACATACTTTTTTTTTCTTTTCTTCCGACATAGATGGTACTTTTCCAATGCAGCCCACTTTTTGGAGGAAAATGTTGTATTTAATGTATATAAACCACCAAATTAATTTTTTGTTTTGAGGGAAGCTAATTTTTGAAGATGTAATTCTGCACTGTTGAATGTATCTGCTTACACTTTAACGTGAGGTCAGTGATCCATTGTGTGCAGTGATTGAGGACTCTTTAGATTGAAGAACACAGAATTAAGCTCAAGTGACGTATAAAGCATTTTGTTTCTGTGCTGGAGAAGAATAAGGGACTTAGAATAACATAGCTTTAACTTAAACAGTAGGAAAGCTTTTATTTTTGAAAGTGAGTGTAATGAAGCACTGTAATAGAGGATACAGAAAAGGTTGTGTTGACTTCATTACTGGAGACTGTCTAAGAAGAAGGTAGCCAAGCATCTGTCAGGTGTAGAGATGGTCCTGCTTGGAGCAAAGAGAAACACTTTTTGATTTTGGGAAACCAAATCTATACAGTGCCATGTTATTATCAGTGTATTTGGGGGACCTAAGTGGAAGGTATTTTTAGTTCTTTTAATAATTTTTCTTTCCTGCTCCTCAAATGGAATTGTAGATTTTATTTTAAAATTTAGACTTTTAGTCCTCAAAATTGACATTTAGTCCTTCTAACTGTGGCATTGTACATCTTCATCAAAATTATGAGTATACTTATCTATGGAAAATAATTTCTACTTACTCCCCCAAACCTTTTGTCTCCAAGGGTATAAATTAGCTTATATTAGAGATCAAGAGTTAAAATAGTCCACTTGAGCTTTTTTAAATAAAATAATATTGGCGGTGTATACGTGATGGACAGTATAGCCCTATACCTATTGTGTCAATGGTTTGTTGGAAATTATTTTGATCCTTAAACTCTCTACAGCATCATTCCTATAACTTGGAATGGTCAGAGTAGTTACTGTTTTTTAAGATGCTACTTCACCAGCAAAAGTCATTTTGTTGACCCACATATATCAGCAGAAACATACTTTGCAATATATAGGAGTTTAGGATACGTAAGCCTTGTTGGTTACGCTAAAACAGCAACAAAAAAAAACCAACAAAAGACATTCCTTTTCTCCTGCTATAAGCTATTGAAAATATTTTCTGCTGCTAATACTTCCCTTAATATGATTTTTTTACTGTGTCTCGAAATTCTGCTTTTTTTTCTTTGTAAATTTTGTATAATTTCTTTAAAAAGGAGAAATTTGTTTGCAACCCCCAGCCTCCAGCCAGGAAAGCACATAAGCATGAGATTGAAGTGCAGTATCTGAAGTGATTCAGCAGTGATTTCTCACGGTAGCAGCATCTTCCTCAGATTGATTTAAGATCGCAGCCAGCAATAGTTACTTAATCATGCATAAGGTGGCTTTTATTTATTTTTATTAGCACAAGAGCAGTTGTACAGATTGGTGCTGCTTGTGTACTTTGATCCTGAGAGGTTCCTTGGTGGAGACCTGAGAAAATAATGCCGAGGAGCACAGCCCAGGGCTGAGTTCATGTAAGAGAGTCAGCACATCTGCAAAATGCAGCCCACCAGCTGCCATAGATTTGTTCTGAGGTGCTTCACCCCAGTAGGGATCAAAACATTTCAAATATCTTTAGGATGATTGCTGTCAGCTGCTCGCTGCCACCTAAACAAGAGCAGTTACCTGTTACGTATGCTTAAATAAAATAAGTTTTAATGTCACTTGATCCAATTAAGACCTATCCTGATTTCATGTTGATTTTTCTGAAGTTTTTTTTAGTAAGTCTGAAGTCTTAGATGTTGATATTGCATGCCTTTAACATTTATGTTGAATTTCACCATTTACATTTAAAATAGGGCATGGTAAAATAACCGTTTGCAGTGGGTATGCAGCATATTGTGTTTCCAGTTTATTTTCATGGAGAGGAGTAGGTTATTGCATGTTTGTCAGCATTGTCCTGTGGCTCTCGGTCATCCAAAATTTGGTGAAAGAGCATGTTCTCCAAGTTCATCCTGCATGGCCTAGTTAATTCTATCAAATGCTGTTTAATATTTTCAGTGGATATCAGCATATTAAGGGCTTTGAGTGCACTGATGCATTAACATTTTCCTTAACTCTTGCTTTGGAGAGAAAAAGAAATTATCTACTAACAGCCTGTTTACTCCTGAAACTCCTGAAAGACCTCCCTAACTGTTCAAGTGATGCTTATCTCCTTGAAAACTTTGGTATTTGCATGTTCCATAAATCAACCCCTTTTCCTTATTACATGGACTGGAAGGATGCCTCAGAAAGTGATATGTTAAATAGTGATGCAGAGTTTGTGTAAACGTTTTGCTGATAAATTAATCAGTATGTTTTGATTTTGGAAATTGTTATGCTTACATCTGTACAACCACATAACCTGCCAACAAAATAGGGAATGCCAGTCTATAGTATAGGATATATAATTCTAAATTTCATTATCTTTTTCAAGGAAAAAAGTCATCTTAGACATCAGTTTTCATTCACAATTCAGGTCCTTTTTGTTAAATTTAATTATAGAACATAATCTGCTGGCGTGTGCTGCAGGGTTACAGAGAAATGAACAGAAGAGGAAGCTGGCTGCACACTCTATATATGTTTTTAAATGAAAACAATATATATGTGTGTAGCTTAGTTGTAGCTCATTAATTTACCTCTGCTCTCTCATTGCATTCCAGAAAAAGGTCATTTTATACCTTAGAATTTTTCTCATAGTTCAATAGTCCCACATTTTTACTGAAAATGCATTTTTTTGTGCAAAATTGCTAGGAGAAATAGGCTTAATGTAATACCAGAAAACAATCATCATATGGTCTTTGAAGAGCCCTTCTAGTTTGGAATTATGACTTTCTATGGGAATGACAGGCTTTTAGGTGGCCTAGTGTTAGAGAAGATTTGAAAACTTAATGGTAAACTATGTAAAAGATTTCTGTTGGTCAAAGTTGTGCATCTTTGGGCATACATTCTCTTATTTCAGCTGTGATATTTCTGCAGTAAACAGCCCTAATAATAGCATACTTGGGAATTAGAAAACTGTTAGAGAAAATAATTAAATTACACATTTTCATTACTTTTTGGGGTATTTTTCCAGTCTCAAATCCCATCTCTTTTAATTTAATCACAAACTAAATATCCTATTTTTTTCCTGTTTTATTGAACGGGCAAACAGGGGTAGATGGTCCCCCTCCCTAGAGAGGAGACGACCTACTAGTCCCAGGATTCATATCCAGCATGCATCTCCGGAGGATGACAGGTACTAGTCAAGTCCTCCCAGTCGAAAAGTGACTCACTGCATCTTGCACTCGGAAATACTGAAATTTAAAAGTATGCATATATGTAGAGAGAAACTTAACGCCCTCCAGAAGCCCAAAATAAAACAGCAACTTAGATGTCATCTCTGCATTTTGTTGAACAGTTATAAAGCACCCGGGAATTAATGTCTTCTCAAGTTTTCCTTTTGCCATGAAATAAGATGTTTGATACAACGGAATATCGTCTGTGTTAATGGTCTTCAGTCTGGCTTTACCTGCTTCTGTGAATGTTGGTGGTGTTTCCTCTGTGGTGCTTTATAATATGATAAATAGTTACTGTAAAGCCTGTTCTTGTCTGGGTGTTTATTTTTATTGGTTTCTAAGTTCTGTCCTAAATCAGGATGGTCTCCAAGATGCAGGTTTTCCTAACAAGGTAGGTTTTGGTTAAAAGCAACAGTGCTTTAAATAACTTTATATGCTGAATTCTGCCTCCTTTCCTTCTTCCCCACTTGATTGGAACTTCGCTCTTTTGGAGTTGTGCCCTTGTGGCAGAGGAGTGACTCACGTTCTGGTGAGATCTCTCAGATGGATCATTGAGGTGGAAATTCAAAATTTCCCCTTCAAATTTTTTGTGTTACAGTAAATGGCAGGGTACACACGGTTCATTTAAATAATCGATACCTGTGTAAACTCGTATGAAGTTACACTTGAAACTGTAACATTGGTATATGGATAAAACTCAGTTACTGTAGTGCTAGTGCTTACCTTCTGCTAAAGTCTATCTGCAGTACTTATATTTGTACTGTAATTTGTCTGAGCAGTATGTGTTTTGTACTTTTATTTCAAGATTCTACCCATCGAACTGAATATTGAGTGAAAAAGTAATTGGCAATTGTAAATTATGTAGTTAAAATATTATATTTAAAACTGCACCTGTCACTGACGTTGAGTAGTTTTATTATGTCTTTATAATTCATGTCCAATAGGCACTGCACAGAACCTGCAGCATTTTTTATCAGCTCCTCATAAAAACAAGTGCTTGGTCTGTGGTAGTGGCCTCTACTGCTACTAAACACGTGGTTCTGCCAAATCACCTGTGGTCCTGATCCAGAAAAATTGTCCATCACTACAAAACTTTTACTTATTTGCTTTTGGAAATCCTAAATAGGTGTTTTTGACTTGGGATCCTTCATTGGGGTGCAGAGAAGCCTTTTAGGAAATTCATATTCAAATTTTCTATGATAGTTTTGTTGAAAATGGTGATATCTCTGTGGCTCTGACAGAGGATTTAGCACATACTTTTTTTTTCTTTTCTTCCGACATAGATGGTACTTTTCCAATGCAGCCCACTTTTTGGAGGAAAATGTTGTATTTAATGTATATAAACCACCAAATTAATTTTTTGTTTTGAGGGAAGCTAATTTTTGAAGATGTAATTCTGCACTGTTGAATGTATCTGCTTACACTTTAACGTGAGGTCAGTGATCCATTGTGTGCAGTGATTGAGGACTCTTTAGATTGAAGAACACAGAATTAAGCTCAAGTGACGTATAAAGCATTTTGTTTCTGTGCTGGAGAAGAATAAGGGACTTAGAATAACATAGCTTTAACTTAAACAGTAGGAAAGCTTTTATTTTTGAAAGTGAGTGTAATGAAGCACTGTAATAGAGGATACAGAAAAGGTTGTGTTGACTTCATTACTGGAGACTGTCTAAGAAGAAGGTAGCCAAGCATCTGTCAGGTGTAGAGATGGTCCTGCTTGGAGCAAAGAGAAACACTTTTTGATTTTGGGAAACCAAATCTATACAGTGCCATGTTATTATCAGTGTATTTGGGGGACCTAAGTGGAAGGTATTTTTAGTTCTTTTAATAATTTTTCTTTCCTGCTCCTCAAATGGAATTGTAGATTTTATTTTAAAATTTAGACTTTTAGTCCTCAAAATTGACATTTAGTCCTTCTAACTGTGGCATTGTACATCTTCATCAAAATTATGAGTATACTTATCTATGGAAAATAATTTCTACTTACTCCCCCAAACCTTTTGTCTCCAAGGGTATAAATTAGCTTATATTAGAGATCAAGAGTTAAAATAGTCCACTTGAGCTTTTTTAAATAAAATAATATTGGCGGTGTATACGTGATGGACAGTATAGCCCTATACCTATTGTGTCAATGGTTTGTTGGAAATTATTTTGATCCTTAAACTCTCTACAGCATCATTCCTATAACTTGGAATGGTCAGAGTAGTTACTGTTTTTTAAGATGCTACTTCACCAGCAAAAGTCATTTTGTTGACCCACATATATCAGCAGAAACATACTTTGCAATATATAGGAGTTTAGGATACGTAAGCCTTGTTGGTTACGCTAAAACAGCAACAAAAAAAAACCAACAAAAGACATTCCTTTTCTCCTGCTATAAGCTATTGAAAATATTTTCTGCTGCTAATACTTCCCTTAATATGATTTTTTTACTGTGTCTCGAAATTCTGCTTTTTTTTCTTTGTAAATTTTGTATAATTTCTTTAAAAAGGAGAAATTTGTTTGCAACCCCCAGCCTCCAGCCAGGAAAGCACATAAGCATGAGATTGAAGTGCAGTATCTGAAGTGATTCAGCAGTGATTTCTCACGGTAGCAGCATCTTCCTCAGATTGATTTAAGATCGCAGCCAGCAATAGTTACTTAATCATGCATAAGGTGGCTTTTATTTATTTTTATTAGCACAAGAGCAGTTGTACAGATTGGTGCTGCTTGTGTACTTTGATCCTGAGAGGTTCCTTGGTGGAGACCTGAGAAAATAATGCCGAGGAGCACAGCCCAGGGCTGAGTTCATGTAAGAGAGTCAGCACATCTGCAAAATGCAGCCCACCAGCTGCCATAGATTTGTTCTGAGGTGCTTCACCCCAGTAGGGATCAAAACATTTCAAATATCTTTAGGATGATTGCTGTCAGCTGCTCGCTGCCACCTAAACAAGAGCAGTTACCTGTTACGTATGCTTAAATAAAATAAGTTTTAATGTCACTTGATCCAATTAAGACCTATCCTGATTTCATGTTGATTTTTCTGAAGTTTTTTTTAGTAAGTCTGAAGTCTTAGATGTTGATATTGCATGCCTTTAACATTTATGTTGAATTTCACCATTTACATTTAAAATAGGGCATGGTAAAATAACCGTTTGCAGTGGGTATGCAGCATATTGTGTTTCCAGTTTATTTTCATGGAGAGGAGTAGGTTATTGCATGTTTGTCAGCATTGTCCTGTGGCTCTCGGTCATCCAAAATTTGGTGAAAGAGCATGTTCTCCAAGTTCATCCTGCATGGCCTAGTTAATTCTATCAAATGCTGTTTAATATTTTCAGTGGATATCAGCATATTAAGGGCTTTGAGTGCACTGATGCATTAACATTTTCCTTAACTCTTGCTTTGGAGAGAAAAAGAAATTATCTACTAACAGCCTGTTTACTCCTGAAACTCCTGAAAGACCTCCCTAACTGTTCAAGTGATGCTTATCTCCTTGAAAACTTTGGTATTTGCATGTTCCATAAATCAACCCCTTTTCCTTATTACATGGACTGGAAGGATGCCTCAGAAAGTGATATGTTAAATAGTGATGCAGAGTTTGTGTAAACGTTTTGCTGATAAATTAATCAGTATGTTTTGATTTTGGAAATTGTTATGCTTACATCTGTACAACCACATAACCTGCCAACAAAATAGGGAATGCCAGTCTATAGTATAGGATATATAATTCTAAATTTCATTATCTTTTTCAAGGAAAAAAGTCATCTTAGACATCAGTTTTCATTCACAATTCAGGTCCTTTTTGTTAAATTTAATTATAGAACATAATCTGCTGGCGTGTGCTGCAGGGTTACAGAGAAATGAACAGAAGAGGAAGCTGGCTGCACACTCTATATATGTTTTTAAATGAAAACAATATATATGTGTGTAGCTTAGTTGTAGCTCATTAATTTACCTCTGCTCTCTCATTGCATTCCAGAAAAAGGTCATTTTATACCTTAGAATTTTTCTCATAGTTCAATAGTCCCACATTTTTACTGAAAATGCATTTTTTTGTGCAAAATTGCTAGGAGAAATAGGCTTAATGTAATACCAGAAAACAATCATCATATGGTCTTTGAAGAGCCCTTCTAGTTTGGAATTATGACTTTCTATGGGAATGACAGGCTTTTAGGTGGCCTAGTGTTAGAGAAGATTTGAAAACTTAATGGTAAACTATGTAAAAGATTTCTGTTGGTCAAAGTTGTGCATCTTTGGGCATACATTCTCTTATTTCAGCTGTGATATTTCTGCAGTAAACAGCCCTAATAATAGCATACTTGGGAATTAGAAAACTGTTAGAGAAAATAATTAAATTACACATTTTCATTACTTTTTGGGGTATTTTTCCAGTCTCAAATCCCATCTCTTTTAATTTAATCACAAACTAAATATCCTATTTTTTTCCTGTTTTATTGAACGGGCAAACAGGGGTAGATGGTCCCCCTCCCTAGAGAGGAGACGACCTACTAGTCCCAGGATTCATATCCAGCATGCATCTCCGGAGGATGACAGGTACTAGTCAAGTCCTCCCAGTCGAAAAGTGACTCACTGCATCTTGCACTCGGAAATACTGAAATTTAAAAGTATGCATATATGTAGAGAGAAACTTAACGCCCTCCAGAAGCCCAAAATAAAACAGCAACTTAGATGTCATCTCTGCATTTTGTTGAACAGTTATAAAGCACCCGGGAATTAATGTCTTCTCAAGTTTTCCTTTTGCCATGAAATAAGATGTTTGATACAACGGAATATCGTCTGTGTTAATGGTCTTCAGTCTGGCTTTACCTGCTTCTGTGAATGTTGGTGGTGTTTCCTCTGTGGTGCTTTATAATATGATAAATAGTTACTGTAAAGCCTGTTCTTGTCTGGGTGTTTATTTTTATTGGTTTCTAAGTTCTGTCCTAAATCAGGATGGTCTCCAAGATGCAGGTTTTCCTAA